CTTCTGTCTGTCCATCTGTCTGCGGATGGGCTGTACTGCTGAAATTAAGTGATGAATCAAACAACCTCCACAGGGTCATCCAAAAGTGACTGAGGAATCGTGTGTCACGATCTGATGTGATGGTCTTGGGTACCCCATGTAAGCGAACAATCTCCCTGAAAAATAATTTGGCTGTTGCGGATGCATCTACTGTTTTCTTGCATGGGAGGAAGTGAGCCAATTTTGAGAATCTATCAACCACCACGAAGACAAAGTCCATGTTCCTCTGAGTCTTTGGCAAGCCTAGCACAAAATCCATGGACAAGTCTTCCCATATAGCAGTAGGAACGGGTAGGGGCATGTAGAGACCTGTGTTCTGGGTTTGTCCCTTAGCTGTCTGACAAACATAGCACCTGCTTACAATGGTAGATACATCCCTTCTTAATTTCGGCCAGTAATATCGCCCCTTAATTGCTTCTACTGTTTTGTCTCTTCCCAAGTGTCCTGCTAATCCACCCCCATGCAAATCCCTGATGATCTTTTCACGGAGGGAAGTGCAAGGGATACTTAGCTGTTCCCCTTTCATAAGGAACCCATCATAAATAAAGAAGTCCTTTGCTGGCTGCTTATTTACGCATTTCTCCCATACCAGTTGGAAGTCTTCATCCTGGGCATATAAGTCTTTTAGGCACTCAAAACCCAAAATCTCAACACTGAGGGTCTTGATGAGAACTACACGCCTGCTAAGTGCATCAGCCACTTTATTTTGCTGTCCTGTCTTATACACAATTTTATATGGGAACTTATCTAGAAAGGCAGACCATCTAGCATGCAAATTACTTCTTAATTGCTTTTGTCTACTAAGATATTTTAGGGCCTGGTGGTCAGTATAGAGAACAAATTCTTTTGCAATTAAATAGTATTCCCATGTCTTCAAGGCTCTAACCACAGCATAGAACTCCTTGTCATAAGTAAACCACTTTCTCCTGGCTTCACATAATTTTTCACTGAAGAAAGCAGTGGGTCTTTTCTCTTGGGACAATACAGCCCCTATGCCAACTCTACTGGCATCACATTCAATCAAATAATTTATTAAAATCTGGCAAGGCAAGAACAGGAGCAGTACATAATTTTTCTTTTATGAGAGCAAAACTTTGCTCTTGTTCTTCTCCCCATTGAAATTTACCCTTTTTCAAACATTCAGTAATGGAAGCCATGATACTACTAAAATTCTTAATAAAGCGCCTATAGAAGGTTGCCAACCCATGAAATCGCTTGACATCTATGACAGTGGATGGAGTCGGCCACTCCCTAATGGCTTTCACTTTTTCCTCATCTACTTTCACACCATCATTCCTTATAATAAATCCCAGGAATAATAAATTATCATTCATAAAGATGCATTTCC